TTTTAATATATTTTATTGATTTTTCACAGAGAGGAAGGGAGAGAGATAGAGAGTTAGAAACATTGATGAGAGAGAAACATCGATCAGCTGCCTCCTGCACATCTCCCACTGGGGGGGATGTGCCCGCAACCCAGGTACATGCCCTTGGCTCTACCCACTGAGCCAAACCAGTTACGGCTACATAGAGCCTTTTGATGTTCATTACCTGATATTTGCTAAAGTTTGAACATCATTACTCATGTAAGTTGTAAGGTGTCATTCCAAAGTTAATATTGTGATGGTCCCTAAAGGATTGAATTTTGGATAAGAACTCTGCCACACTGTAGATGAAAAAGGGGGTTCTATGAAAAATAACATCACTGGGTGATGGGATCATAAACTCGTGACTGGGCAATACAATTCTTTACTAACAGGCTTATCTTTGCCTTAAATAAGCACTGTGCATTATTTCTGTACATCTAGGTTAACACAGCTAGGTTAACACAACTTTGCACATAAACTTAAATACCCTGTAATGCAAGCTGCATGTGACCACTCCCAAAAGAGCACATAGTTTTAATTACCCTGTAATCCCATCCTGGTGTTACTCCCTCCACCTTCAAGTAAGTAATCTTCCTAACCTTCCCTCTGTAACCGGAATCCAAGGATCTGCTGCCTGCAGCCAGGAAAGCCAAACTCCTGACACAGATGCTGGTGAGAAAGAAAAGAGGTTTATTTGAATGCTGGCAACTGGGGGACTTTTGTTGCAAAGCCCATCTCAACATCTCAATGCAGGCAGAGGTTTTTGTAAGGAGGGAGAGGGAAAGCAAAACAAAGAAATAAAAGTTAGGGGGTTAAAAAGTTCTCTCCGTGTAGGCCAGCACTGTCCATTCCAATAAGGACCACAAAACTTGTCAAGTGATGGTCTAGTGTGCGTCATCAGAATCTTTGTCATCCTGGTTTTATGGTTGAAGGTCAGCAAATTTCCCAGAGCTGAAATGACTGAAGGTCAGAGTCTGTGTCTCTATCATCTGAAGTTAGTTCTTAGGATTCCAATACAAACATTTGTATTAGGCAGAACCAGCCGATGCTCTAACCAACTGAGATACCAAGCCAGGGCTTACGATATATATGTTGTATTAAGATTGATTATGCTGCCCTAACCAGTTTGGATACATCCCCAGTGGGGGGTTTGCAGGAGGCAGCTGATCCATGATGTTTCTAACTCTCTATCCTTCTCCCATCCTCTCTGTAAAAAGTCAATAAAAAATAAAAGAGTGGCCCCAACTGGTTTGGCTCAGTGGATAGAGCGTCCGCCTGCGGACTGAAGGGTCCTGGGTTCAATTCTGGTCAAGGGCATGTACCTTGGTTGCGGGCATATTCCCAGTAGGGGCGTGCAGGAGGCAGCTGATTGATGTTTCTAACTCTCTATCCCTCTCCCTTCCTCTCTATAAAAAATCAATAAAATATATATATTTTAAAAAATAAAAGAGTGATTATGCTTTAGTATTTGTATCTTCCTCCCATGATGAGGACCTTGAATGCTTTCTGCCAATGCCCTCCAGCAGCAATCATATCATTGTGTGTAATGTTGTCATTTCCTGTATTTCGTTTAGTAATAAAATATCTTCGGGAAACAAATGCATGGAATGATTTGATAAAAGAATTGGAATTAAGCTTTTAATTACATTAGGGTTAACCATGGAGATTAAAACAGGATACATATTAGAAGTGTAACCAAGTTAAGAAATTTATTAAAATGGTTTTCTGGTTTTCACAACTGGAAAGAATCCTTCCTAGTTGAAAAGCAGGTTTGCAATAAAAATTAGAAAGTTTTTATCTATTGTTCATTGATAAATAAATATCACAGTTATATTCATTAGAGAAAAATTACAGTGAATTTGGAAGGACTTTAGGCAGGATAAACACAGAATCAGAAATTCATACTGGGGATGGTGTTAAAATATAATGATTTGGGCAATATATTTAACCTAGAGTTAAGCATTACTAACCATCAGTCAATATACATATAAGAGAAATCGTATAGATGTAATGTGTGTAGCAAAGACCTTATCCAAAACTGAATCCATGGAGGGCCCCCATAATGTTAATTGTGGAAAACAATGTTACAAATATTAGGAGTAATGATGCGCTTAATTCAAAGACATTGGACAGGAAAGGCTGTGTCACCAATGGGAAGTAGGTGCGGGGACCCGGGGCTGCCCCCTCCCTCCCGCCCCGCCCTCCCTCCCTCTGGCCCTGCACAGGCCTGGCCGCCGGGCTCGGCCCCGCCCCCATCGCGGAGTCGCTCAGCTCAGGCTCTGGCCCCCGCCCACCCCGCAGGGAGGCGCATGCGCAGTTCCTTGCAGACGCGGAAGCGGCCGTGGAGGGGAAGGTGGCGGTTTCCCCTGAGGAGGGTGTTTGTCTTTAAAGCTGAGGCTCCCCGTCCCCCTCCCCGCAGGGAAGGCTGAGGGCGCTGCCGGCGCTGAAGTCCTTGTTGGGGTCCCCGCCCCGGAGCCTCTCTGCGGTGAGTCCGCGTCCCGGGAGGCCGCGCGGTGCGGGCGCCACGTGCCTTTGGGAGTAAACGGAGGCCCCGGCCCGGGGTCTCTCCGCCTGTGGCTGTGGCCACCGCCTGCCGCGCGGTTTTCCCGCTGAAAACCGTTCCCGGGGCCGCCGGTCCTCCCCGCGGGGCTGAGAGTCTGGGTCAGGGGTTCCCGCCCTTTGCGCCCCTACCCCCGCCCGGCGCTTTCCGCCCAAAGAGCCTGGATGGCTGCCGGCCTGGGGGTCTGCACCCCCCTCCTAGGCCCACCCTCATTTAATAAGGGGTCTGCCTGCCCGGGGAGCACAGTGTCCATGGGGGGGCTCAGGGGGAAGGACGCGGTGTCCCCTGAAGAGGTGACCTGCCCGCGGGGAGGGGCTTTGTGGGCGCGGTGACTGCGGGGGGCGGGGGCCCAGGCTGGGGGGTCAGGAGAGGGAGTGAGAGACAGACACGTGGGCGGGAGGAAGGGCAGCGAGGGGTCCACAGAGAGGGGCCCATAGGGGGTGTGGGGGGGACTGGACGGCGACGGTAGGAGTGAGGGGGTCACTCGGGAAAGTGGCCTGAGGAGGAAGGAAGTGGAGACACAGGGAGGAGGGGGAGCCCAGAGAGAGGAAGGGGGGCTGAGAGGGAGCGGGTCCTGGGGAGCAGAAGTGGGGGCCGCACAGGAGCAGGCACTTGAGACAGAGACACTGGTTCCCAGGAGAAGAGTTGGGGAGCGAGTGCAGGGACAGAAAGGGGGACTCAGGGATGAGGGAGCAGAGGGAGCAGCACTGAGTCAGCAGCTGTGGGAGCGGGACAGACGGGAACAGGCAGCAGGGGGGCCGCGGGCGTGGGGAGGGGAAGACGCAGACGTGTGTGGAGATGGAGCCTCAGAGACCAGAAGAAATGCATAGTAGTGGGAAGGAGGAGACCTTGATCTGGGTGAGTGGTGAGCTGATGGGATGTGGATGGTTAAGTGGTGATATATAGACAGTCCTCGGGTTATATCGCATTCGAAGTATGTCCTTTCGTGGTTACATGCCATCTCCCATTTATTCATAAAAAAAAAGCCCTAACCGGTTTGGCTCAGTGGATAGAGCATTGGCCTGAGGACTGAAAGGGCCCAGGTTCGATTCCGGTCAATGGCATGTACCTTGGTTGCGGGCACATCCCCAGTATGGGGTGTGCAGGAGGCAGCTGATTTTTCTCTCTCATCGATGTTTCTAACTCTCTATCCCTCTCCCTTCCTCTCTGTAAAAAATCAATAAAATATATATATTTTTTAAAAGTTCCATCATTTTGATGTATGTACATATGTGCTTTATGTTTTTTATTATTTACCACAAGTAAAGGTCAGGAATTGTTATCTTTCTTTTAAAGTTTTTTTACTGTTTCACTTCATTACTGCTGTGTATGTGCTCCATGAGTGACGGAGGTGCTTATGTAAGTGGGTTCTGACTTACGGCGAAAATCGCGTTTCTTCTCCCCAACGTAACCCGAGGACCAACTATACTGGCTTGTGGCTTTATATATTTAACAGCTGAATTGTTTTAGTCATACAGATTTGAATGAGAATTATAAATCCAGTTTATAAGGCTTGGGAATTTTATATAAGTATTTGATTCCAGTTGCAACCCTTATTCACTCAGAGAGGAGAGACTTGTCTGTAGGGCATGGGTCGCTTGTCATTTCCTGGGATGGCAAGAAGGGGGTGACTTGAGTTTATCACCACAGGATGCTTTTTCAAGGACTGTTAGAAGCCTAGGTTTCTTGTTGTGTTTTTCCTTTTTGTTTTTTATTTTTCTCTTCCATGGATATAGTTTTTCTATGTCTGATACTTAATTTATATTTTAAAAACATGCTGAGATAAATTCTTTGGCTTTTTCTCAGATCACCTGAGGAGTTTTAAGAAATGACATCAGGCCTTGTGGGAAGGGTCAGTGATTGAGCATAGGCCTGGGAACCAGGAGGTCATGGTTTGATTCCCGGTCAGGGCACATGCCCAGGTTTTGGGCTTGATCCCCCTCTAGATCAATGCTACTCTCTCATTGATGCTTCTCTTTCCTCTCCCTCTTCTTTCCTGTCTGAAATCAATAAAAATATATTAAAAAAAAAAAAAGAAATGACAGCAGGTGCACTTTCCCCCATGGATTTGGACAGATGCTCTGGGTGGGGCATCTTTGGTTACTGAGGGCCTCCAGGTGATTGGAAGGTGAGGACGGGGGATTAGTAGGAGGGGTGCAGGATGCCTTTGTGAGAGTGGGGAGCAGGCTTTGTTCAGGGGAGGTAAGGGGGTGCTCTGTTTAGTTTGGGGGTTCAGGACAGCAGCTCACGTTCTCATTTCTGTAGGAGTTTGTGGATGTCTTTGGAAGGAGAGACACATGAAGACACACACTCAAAAACTCACAGTGCGGTCTCCATGTAGGAGCTCATTGTTCCTCACTCCTATGAGAACGGACAGGAGCAGGTGGCCTTTCCTCATTTCCAGGTCCCTCTGACTGTGAGTGTCGTGTGAGCTGATTAAGACGCTCAGCTGACGTCTTTGAAGGCACATTCTGTGACTCCTCAACATATCCTCGCCTGAGACAACAACCCAGACCCTGATCAGGACCAGGACCAAATGGCTGCTTCTCAGGTAAAAGATGTGTCCTGGGTCACAGGCTATGTTTGCTTTTCTTCTGACATCTCTGGATTTAGAACCTGCCCCTTCTGATGTTGGTGCTATTCATGCTCTTTCCCTTTACGTACTTATTTAATTACTGTTTTTCTTACGATAGTCAAGGTCAGCAGTTTATATAGTTTTGGCCTTTATCCCAATGCCTTCTGTGCATTCATGTTATGCAGGCTCCACCAGGTCAAGAAGATTTCCCACCTTTAATGACTTTCAACTACTGAAAACATCCCTCTCTGACAGATTAATCTTGGGAGGCAGCCATGTCTAACACCCCTACCGGGATGGGGCCAGGGGCTCTAATATCGGTGAAGAAGAGAAATGAAGTTTTTAGGTTCAAATGGCTGCAGCATCAGCTCTGTAGATCAGGGGTAAGAAAATGCACATTTTACAGCTCAGAAAAATCTGAAAAGAAGAATAAATAGAAGAGACTTGCTCACTAGATTAGTACAAAAGTCTTGCTATTTAAATGTGCTGATAGCTTGCAGAATATGAGAGATACACGTGGATTGACACTTGTAAAAATTAATGTTGTTTGTGATCATTTTCACATAATGATTTTTTTATTGATATATTTTTGCCAGTGATTTCACAGCCGTGATGTCCTGTCCTTCTGTGTCACCTAAGACCCATTGTTCCAGTCCACCATGGCAGAGGTGCTCCCCTCACTGTAGAGTTAATAGTCTCCCTTTATCAGTAACAAGGGCTTAGTAGGGACTTATTGAGAGATGTGCAAAAACCATCACATTTCATCTGGAAACTCGCCTCTTCTTTTTACCTCTGTTTGCTTTGAAAAATAAACGCTCTACTTCTATTTCCTACAGATCATTGGCTTTTGACATGGGAGCTTTAACCAATCAGGACTTGTTCCTGTAAATTTTCATTATATTCTTTTTTTCCCCCCAAATATATTTTTATTGATTTCAGTGAGGAAGGGAGAAGGAGAGACAGAAACATCAATGATGAGAGAGAATCACCATTCAGCTGCCTCCTGCACGTCCCCCACTGGGGATCCAGCCCACAACTCAGGCATGTGCCCTTGACCGGAATCAAACCCGGGACCCTTCAGTCCGCAGGCTGACGCTCTGTCCACAACCGGCTAGGGCAGTTTTCATTATATCCTACACTCATGTCATGGACATACTCTACATTATCACTTTTTTTTATTTTTTGGAAAGTTTACAAAAATCATATTAATGTATCTTCAATTCAGTTAAATTTATATGATTATAGTCAACTAATGATACACAAAAATTTTCAAATAAATGAGTATCTAAGAAATAATAGATCTAATTTGTTTTCCATCGTTATGTGAGTTTCTCTCCTTATTGTATTTATACTACACTAGAGGCCTGATTCATGAAATTCATGCAAGAGTAGGCCTTCCTTCCCCCAGCTGCTGTCACCGGCTTCCCTCCCGGACCCAGGCTTCCCTCTGGCACCTGGGACCTGGGCTTCCCTCACAGTCCCGGCTTCATCTGGAAGGTTGTCCGGAAGGACATCCTGTCTAATTAGCATATTACGCTTTTATTTTTGTAGATGAGGGGTATCATTAACAAATAGATTCATGAAATTTATGGAATGGAATCACAAAATGATCTTGATTTCACTGACCTGACAATTCTGTTTTCTATCACTTTTATATTGTACATAGTTCACATACGTGTGTCTCTCTCTATATAAAATGGTAACATTATTTGAGATATTTTTTCTTATTTGCTTAAGCTGTCTTTATTGTTCTCAGTTGCAGAAACTGCTGTGAATATTCATGAGGTTTCTTTATGGGCATTGACCTGTGGTTTGTTTTTTTAATTGTAGATTGAGTTTGGGATAAAATTGAAGGTTTACTTTTTATTATATATTTCACAGAATATTCTCATATCAAAGGCGGAATAATCTTGTTCTAAAATTACTCATAGTAAATTCTAAATAGGATTATGGTCCCAATGTCTCCTATTTTAAGAGAACTAAAATTCCTTAAAAATACTCTTTCAGTTTAAAATTGTGTATGAACTTTGTCCTTTCTTTTCTGTTCTGTTCTATTCAGAAATATAGCACATGGACCACAGACATTGGCATCATAAGTAAAAAGTGAGCTTGTTACACATGTAGAAACACAGGCCCCATCTGAGAACCCGGATCAGAACCTGTGTTAGAAAAGTGCAGTTTGTTGTCATCTGTGTTGCCCTTGAAGAAGTGCTTACACTTCCCATCTCACCATGACATCTCCAGCTGAGAAATATACACCACTGACCCTGAACGATTCAAATACAGCTCTCAGAAATCCCTATGCCTGTGTTAATGCCTTAATTTTAAAGTTTATTTTCCTGCAAAATAAAACCTCTGCAGTGAATTTGTGGACATGTGTCATCCACATTTGTCAGTGTTAGAAAACAAATCAGAGAATGTTACTGGGTCAAAGTGATCTTATTGGGTAAATCAGGATACTCTCCTAGGTCAAAACAACTTCTCCTAACACTGTTTTCGTGTTGGGTGACATTATGAACTCTTCTGGTGACCTCTTGGTAAATGTGTCTTTTCTTTCAGGGACAGTTGTCCTTCAGAGATGTGGCCATAGATTTCTCTCAGGAGGAGTGGGAATGCCTGGATCCAGTTCAACAGAAATTGTACCTGGATGTGATGTTAGAGAACTACAGCAACCTGGTCTCCCTGGGTGAGGATGACTTCCTTTCTGAGTCCCTACTCCACCCACATAGTGTTGTTTTCTTTATTATTTTAACATCTATGGGGAATTCTGTTTTCTATGGTAGATTTTCTGATTCTTGCTCTCAAGGTACAAATTGGGGGTTTTCTGGTACAAAAGAAAAGATTTGTGATGCATGTGAAGTAGGAAATCAGTGTTTGAAATTTTTACATGTTGTCTAGACCTGTGGTCGGCAAACCGCGGCTCACGAGCCACATGCGGCTCTTTGGCCCCTTGAGTGTGGCTCTTCCACAAAGTACCACGTGCGGGCATGCACGTACAGTGTGATTGAAACTTCGTGGCCCATGCGCAGAAGTCGGTATTTTGTGGAAGAGCCAGTATTATGTGGAAGAGCCACACTGAAGGGGCCAAAGCCACATGTGGCTCGTGAGCCGCGGTTTACCGAGCCGCAGTTTGCCGACCACTGGTCTAGACTAATTTAGGTACTATCTGAAAACAGTATATTAGAAAATAATCCTATATAATAAAATCCTAACATGCAAATCGACCGAATGGCGGAATGACCAGTCACTATGATGCACAGTAACCACCAGGGGACAGACACTCAACGCAGGAGCTGCCCCCAGCCAGCAGGCCCCAGGCCAGCTAAGGCGGTTGCCAGCAGGGGGGGGGGGCAATCACCCTGCCGGTTGCTCCACAGATTGGCCCTGAGGCCTAGGGACCCTACCCATGCACAAATTTCGTACACCGGGCCTCTAGTTTTCTAGAATATTCTAACATTCTACCATGTCTTCTGACCAGAGGACAAACTGGATTGGAAATGAGAGAATCTCTATCAAAACTCATGGTCCATTTTCTAGTAAATAGGTCTTGCTGTCTCTAAGCAAGTCTTTGTCATCTTTTCAGTTCAAATGAAAGAGCACTTTGGTCCATGGCTGGGGTTCTCTGTTGCTTAAGAGTGTTATCCCTGTCCACCAAGGTTGTGGGTTTGATCCCCTTTAGGACGAATACAAGAAGCAGCCAATGATGCCTTGTTCAGTGTGCTTCGGGTTAGAACTTCAGCCTAGAGTTTCTGACTGCCCACCAAAGGCCCAAAGGTCCCTTTCCTTGTCAAAAGCACACATCTGGATTGCTGGTCAATGATTCTCATCATTGATGCTTCTATCTCTCTTTCTCCCTTCCTCTCTGAAATCAATAAAGATTTGCATATATTGCATATATAAAGAATATATGCAATATATATTCTCTCTCATAATTGAAACATCAGTGATGAGAGAGAATCATTGATCGGTGCCTCCTGCACACCCCACATTGGGGATTAAGCCCACAACCTGGGCATATGCCCTGACTGGGAATCGAACCATGACCTCCTGGTTCATAGGTCGATGCTCAACCATGGAGATATGCCGGCTGGGATATGTGTGTGTGTGTGTGTGTGTGTGTGTGTGTGTGTGTGTGTGTGTATTTTTTTAAAAATATATTTCTTGCCCTAGCTGGTTTGGCTCAGCGGATAGAGCGTCGGCCTGCGGACTCAAGGGTCCCGGGTTCGATTCCAGTCAAGGGCATGTACCTGGGTTGCGGGCACATCCCCAGTAGGGGGCGTGCAAGAGGCAGCTGAATCGATGTTTCTAACTCGCTATCCCTCTCCCTCTCCCTTCCTCTCTGTAAAAATATCAATAAAATATATTTAAAAAAAAAAAAAAAAATAAAAATAAAAATATATTTCTTAATTGATTTCAGAGAGGAAGGGAGAAAGATAGGGAGATAGAAACATCAATGATGAGAGAGAATCATTGATCGGCTGCCTCCTGCACGCCCCCTACTGGGGATCAAGCCCGCAACCCAGGCATGTGCCCTTGGTCGGGGTCAAACCTGGGACCCCTCAATCTGCAGACTGATGCTTTATCCACTGAGTCAAGCCAGCTAGGGTTGTATATTTTTTAAAAAAGTAACTTGGTCAGTAATTGCTAGTAAGTTTAATATCATAACTGTGAAACTTTGTATCATATCTTCCAGCTACCTTATCTGAAGACAAACAGGCCATGCTACAAAAGGCAGAAATGGAAGATTTATTCCCTAAAATAATACTGGTAAGATAATGGAAGGTATGGCTTTGATAATGTACATTTAGTGAAAGCCTTGGAATTAGAGGAAGAGTGTAAGATGAGAAGAAAGTATGTTAATATTGCCATAATAATATTCTTGTTATTTAAGGAAGTCAAAGATATCACACATTTGACAATACTCCTAATTTCCATTAGTTTTAGCTATCCATTAATTATAGCTGTAGATTAATGTGAAATAAATGTGAAATGTTTCTAAATGTGAAAACCAAGTATAATTTTTTTTAATCTTATACATTCTTGGAACATAAATAGGGAAAATCTAGAGTCTCACATAAGCCATACTGTAAATAATTATAAAAATTGTTTACAATGTAGTCTTGGATTAAACTTTCAATAAGTCATTTATAGAATTTAGTGATTTATAATGCACAGATAATGTTTAAATGCAATCAGTTTGGTGGTTTCTTCATTAAATGTCTCATTATGCTTCCATTGATAAATAATGTTTTTGAAACATGTCAATAATTTTCAGAAACAGGAGTATTTTATTAAAAAAAAAAAAGTCTTTATTGATTTCAGAGAGAGGAAAAGAGAGATAGAAACATCAATAAGAGAATCATTCATTGCCTGCCTGCTGCCTGCCCCCCATTGGGGATTGAGCTCCCAACCCAGCCATGTGCCCTGATGGGGAATTGAATTGTGACCTCCTGGTTCATGGGTTGACACTCACTCAATGAGCCACACCAGCTAGGCAGCAGTGTATTTTTTATTTCATTTTATTTTATTTTAATTGATTTCAGAGAAGAAGGGAGAGAGAGTGACATAGAAGGATCAATGATGTGAGAGAATCAATGATCAGCTGCTTGCTGGATGCCCCCCACTGGGGAATCAGTCCCCGACCCAGGTATATGCCCGGACTGAGAATTGCACCATGACTTCCTGGTTTATAGGTCAGCACTTAATCACCAAGCCACATGGGCCTGGCAGGATGGTTGTTTTTTTAATTTTTTTTCTGTTTTGTTTTGAATCCTTACCCAAGGATATTTTTCCCTTGATTTTTAGAGAGCAGGAAAGAAAGACACAGAGAAATATCGATTTGAGAGAAACACATTGGTTGCCTTCTGCATGTGCCCCAAACAGGGCTCGGGCCTGGGAGGAGCTTGCAACTGAGGTACATGCCCTTGATCAGAATTGAACTCGGGAACTTTTAATCTGCAGGTCTATCCATTGAACCAAACAGGCTAGGGCTGGAATGTGTGTGTGTTTTTTTATACCATCATGATTTAATAGTTACCACAAAATAGTTATTTGAAAAAAGTATACATGTATAATGAAATAATAGCTTTCACTAAATGCCTTTCCACCTTCAGTGATTACCAGAATACATGTATTGAAGATAGAGGTTACCAGTGCAAGGAATATTGGAAAAATTTTAACCACGAGTCAAATCCTAATAAACATCAGAAAATTCAGCCTCCAGAAAACTGTTATAAAGGTGCAAAAGGCTTTGACCCAATGTCAAATCTAAATATACATCAGTTTATTCATCCTGTAGGGAAGACAAAGAAACAAATTAAATATGACAAATCATTTAAGCAATCTTCAAATCATACTGAACAAGATAATATTCATACCATAGGGAAAGGTTACAAATTTAATCCATATGAGAGAGTTTTCAGTCAAATATTCAGTCTAAATAAATTTAAGAAAATCCCTGCTAGAGAAAAGCATTATACATATAAAGAATGTGGTAAAGCGCCCTGACTGCTTTGACTCAGTGGATAGAGCATCATCCTACGGACTGAAGGGTCCCGGGTTCGATTCAAGTCAAGGGCATGTACCTTGGTTGCGGGCACATCCCCAGTAGGGGGCGTGCAGGAGGCAGCTGATGGATGTTTCTCGCTCATTGATGTTTCTAACTCTCTATCCCTCTCCCTTCCTCTCTATAAAAAATCAATAAAATATATTTTTAAAAAAAGAATGTGGTAAAGCATTTAATTTTCTTTCAAATCTGTGTGAACTTGAGGGAATTCATACTGGAAAAAAGCCCTATAAATGTAGAGAATGTGGCAAAGCTTTTTGCAACACCTCATCTCTTACTTATCATCAGAGAGAGCATACTGGAAAGAAGCGTTATAAATGTGGAGAATGTGGCAAAGGATTCAGTAATACCTCAAGTTTTAATCGCCATCAGAGAGTTCATACTGGAGAAAAGCCCCATAAATGTAGAGAATGTGGCAAAGCCTTCCGTACCGCAACAAACCTTACTTGTCATCAGAGAGTTCATACTGGAGAGAAGCCCTACAAATGTAGAGAATGTGGCAAAGCCTTTAGCAGGTCCTCATCTCTTACTTATCATCAGAGAGTTCATACTGGAGAGAAGCCTTTTAAATGTGCTGATTGTGGCAAAACTTTCCGTGTAGCATCAGACCTTACTTATCATCAGAAAGTTCATACTGTAGACAATCCTTATAAATGTGAAGAATGTGGCAAAGCCTTCCGTGGGCAAACAGACCTTACTTACCATCAGAGAATTCACACTGGAGAGAAGCCTTATAAATGTGAAGAATGTGGCAAAGCCTTCCGTGGACAAACAAACCTTACTTATCATCAGAGAGTTCACACTGGAGAGAAGCCCTACAAATGTAGAGAATGTGGCAAAGCCTTTAGCAAGTCCTCAACCCTTACATATCATCAGAGGGTTCATACTGGAGAGAAACCTTACAAATGTGGCAAATGTGGCAAAGCCTTTAGCAGGTCCTCATCTCTTACTTCTCATCAGAGACTTCATACTGGAGAGAAGCCTTTTAAATGTGCAGATTGTGGCAAAACTTTCCGTGTAGCATCATCCCTTACTTATCATCAGAAAGTTCATACTGGACAGAAGCCTTATAAATGTAAAGACTGTGGCAAAGCCTTCAGTGGGCCAACAAACCTTACTTATCATCTGAGAGTTCATACTGGAGAGAAGCCCTACAAATGTAGAGAATGTGGCAAAGCCTTCAGTGTGCCAAGAAATCTTACTTATCATCAGAGAGTTCATACTGGAGAGAAGCCCTACAAATGTAGAGAATGTGGCAAAGCCTTTAGCAGGTCCTCAACCCTTACATATCATCAGAGAGTTCATACTGGAGAGAAACCTTATAAATGTGGCCAATGTGGCAAAGCCTTCAGGAGGTCCTCAAGGTATAGAGTTCATCAGAGTATTCATAGTGTTGGGAAGCCTTATAAATGTAAAGAATGTGGCAAAGCTTTCAGGGGGGCAACAAACCTTACTTATCATCAGAGAGTTCATGCTGGAGAGAAGCCCTATAAATGTAGAGAATGTGGCAAAGCCTTTAACCAGTGTTCCTGCCTTTCTGTACAGCAGTGTCCATAGTTGAGAGAAGTGTCACAGATGTTAGTGTTGTTAGTCCTTTACTAACTGCAAGAACTTAGTATCACAGAATTTATACTGGGAAGAAGCCTTATGATTGTGAAAAATGTGGAAAAGCCTTCAAAAGCTATTCATATCTTACTGTACCTGAGAGACTTCATCCTGAAGAGAGACCTTTCAAAAATAGAGAATGTGCTAGCGCTTTTATCCACTGCTCAAAACTTACTCAACATAGAAAATTTATAGTGGAGAGAAGCCTTATAAATGTAGAGAATGTGGCAAAGCCTTTCGTGTGGCATCCTTACTATGTAGAAAATGTGAGATAGCCTTTACTCTGGGAAATGCTGATTGTTGGTTGGGAAAGACCCTGATTTTTTTTCCTGCTAATACATCATTACATTTCTTTATTTGCCGCACTTATGAGTTCTATTGTAGGATATGGTTGTTGAAAATTATTGTTAACTGCTATTTATATACTTTGTGTAAGATAATTTTTAAAAACTAATGCATTGTCTATATTATGAAAGAAAACCAATACTAAATTATATTACTTAAAGAATAGATTTCCATAGGATATTAAAATGTTGATTTCAAATTAGGGTAAGAAGCAATATATTTCATGGTTCATTTTGGATGGTATTACATTTTTTTTTATTGATTTTTTACAGAGAGGAAGGGAGAAGGAGAAGGATAGAGAGTTAGAAACATCAATGAGAGAGAAACATCAATTCAGCTGCCTCCTGCACACTCCCCACTGGGGATGTGCCTGCAACTAAGGTACATACCCTTGACCAGAATCGAACCTGGGACCCCTCAGTCCACAGGCCGCCACTCTATCCACTGAGCAAAACCGGCCAGGGTGGCATTACAATTTCTTAATTTAATATATTTTTTCTAACCATTTCTTCCACACACTTTGACCCAGATTATATGTTTCACTTTCATTTTTCCTATTAAACACACCAGGGCATACATAAATCAGTGGATTGTGTTGAGACTTTGTGACTTGAAAATGTATATAAGATGATGACAGGGTGTGGGAGCCATGCCAGAGTTTTCAGATAGTCAAGGCTAATTAGAGTGTGGAGGCCTTGTTGATAGTATGCCAGACGGTCAAGGCCACTCTGAACATGGGAATCTTAATCAAATGTTCAGGGCTGAGCAACCATAAACAGGTGTGAGGACAAGAATTATGGAACAGTGTGCATGCATGCCTTGCTGAAGCCAAATCATTGATGTCACTGTTGGCAACTTGCCTCTTTTGTGTAAGTACTATTAAAAGTACATTACTAAGGCTAGAGAGCTCAGTTGGAGCTGAGAGCTGGTACTGCTATGATGTAAGGCTAAGAGCTTAGATATAACTGCCATGTTAACCAGCCAGTGTGCTGAGAGAGAAGCTCAGAGGTAGTTACTAAGTAAGGCTACAGAGACCAGGCTTATCGGGCAGGGGAGACAGGAGAAGCTGCTAGGGCAGAGAGTTCAGATCTGCTGCTATGTGAGGCTCTAGGTACAGAGGCTGTTGAGGGTGCTGCCGCTTTATGGAAGAGATGTATGTGTTCACCAGCCAGTGTTCACCAGCCAGTGTGCAGCTGCCGTGTATGGAATTTTGCTGTGAAGAGCTATTTTGTCTGTTGGCATTATGGCCCCTGGCTTTTGCAATAAAGACTGATTCGTATACACTCACAACTTCTCATTGCTTCTCTGTCTAAGACCTGGCATCCAAGAAGGTCCAGTCCCTAGTCAGAGAGGCTCGGGTCCAACAGTTAGTGTAGTGGGCAGGGTTCGAGAAGGAACCTGCCCAGATAGTTGACATAGTCCAGGAGAATTCAAAAGAATATATGGACTCAGAGCAACTCAGATCAGCAGAGCTGTGCAGTACTCTGGCTGCATCTGACCCAGGGACAAAGTAAGTGTTTTATGAAGATGAAGAAAAAGTGTTCCTTCAGGTCTGTGGCTCAACAAAAGTGTTGGAGTGACACATGTTTGTGAACTGAAGTCTTTTCATGTGTGAGTTTGCCATGGTTGGTGCTTGAAAATCAAGTATGGGGAGGTCAGCAAGCACACAGTAAAGTAAATGGAAATAGAGGGATGAAGGAAATAGTCCCCAAGATTGTAGATGTGGTTTGTAACGAGACCATCTCCATTGCCAAATGCCTGGGGCTTTTCCACCATTTCTTTGTGATTGGTGTTCATATTCAGAACCAGCTTACCTACCAGGGAAAGTGAGGTTTCCGGTACTGTTACCATGGCATCTGACACCCAATGTCCTCCACTTCAAATTTTTTCCCATCCCAAAGTAATACATGTTTTGTTTATAGTGACCTTAATTTTCCAGCTGCCTATGGTACCATATTTCAATGATCCAGACTTCAAAAATGAATGACTTGATTTGCAGGCATTACTCAAAACATTTAAATACGATTCATCCCTGATTGTTAAAACTTACCATTACAAAATAATGTGAGGAGTAATATGAAGTTAAAACTCAAAACCCTGGCAATGTCTAAATGAGGGACATGGCTCTGATGTTCTTTTTAACTTTGTTAAATGCTGTTATTTTCTTTCTTTATTTTTGAGATTGAGTACTGATTTCTTTTCACTGGATTCAGAATGTTATCATGGGGTCTGGGCCCAGGTTGGGTCTGCCTAACAGCCCCCTCCCTAATGTGTGGGTTTTTGACTTTGTGTAGAAACCTTTCACAATAAGAGTCCAGATGAGTTTTGAGAGTATTCTTATTAAAGCTAGAGATAGTGAAACAGGGCTTACGTTAGGAGAAGCAAGAGGAAAGTCAGGAAAATGGGGGCCTTACAGCCCATTTCAGGGGGTTAGCTGGGGTGTAGCTGCTGCTGCCCGCTACTTCTGTGGCTGTAAAACTCGGTTCCCTTAAAGTTTAGGAGGAAAACAGCAAAGATACAAGGCATGGGTGTGCTCTTCCTAGAGCCAGCTGAGGATTCTTGGTCTTGAGGCTTTTAGTGTTCCTTTTGAGGGCTGGTATGCTAGGGGAGGTCTTTGGGAAGGGTCTTCATAGAATATTCATTAACTCTTCAGATGTGATCTTCAGTATGTTAATTAATGAAAATATGTGTAAAGGGGCTGGGGTTATTTTCTGGTTGGTTTTATTTTTAAAGAATGTTATTGAAATGGGGACGGACTGAAACCAGCTTGCCCTGGGGACTGTCTGGAATGAGTAAAGCATTTGCTCCTAAGTGTCCTTGGTTAGAGAAGATATCCTTGTGATTTATTAGCTGGCTGAAAATTGCTCAGATTGTTTGGTCTTGTCTAATTTGTCTCAGTTTTCCTTATTCTACTTCCCTTATCCTAGCTTTTTACCACTTCACCTCAATAATACATTCTAATGTCCACTTTAGTTTTTCTTTGTCCCATGGTTAGTCACAAGCATGTTAGTATTTTCCAAATACTTGACAATTTCCAAGAGATTTTTCTTTTATTGATTTCTATCTTCAATCCATTGAGGTCATAGACATATTTTGTATGACTTGAATTCTCTTCAAAATTGTCAGGAATTGTTTGATGGCCCATCAAATGATTTCTCTTAGTATAGTACTTTGTGCATATTTAAAGGTGGTGTATAGTTCTTTTGGTAGGTGGAATGTTCTTATGAAGAAAAGTGTAATTTTTTTCTTTTGTGTGACAAAGATTTCATTCAACATTGAATTTTTAGAGGAACATCATAATACAAATTTGTATATATATATTGATTTCAGAGAGTAAGGGAGAGGTAGAAACATCATTGATGAGAGAGAATCATTGATCGGCTGCCTCCTGCAAGTCCTCCACTGGGGATTGAATCCTCAACCCGGCCACTAGCCCTTACCAGAATCAAACCTGAGACCCTTCAGTTCTCAGGCCAATACTCTATCCACTGAGGAAAACTGGCTAGTGCCATAATATTAATTTTTGAAGGGAATCTTACACATTTTGTTAGTAATGATCTTGAAGCCCTACAAAAATTAGGTAAGGCAAATGCAGTGATCAAGGGAAAGATAAGAGAAATAAATAAGGCCAGGCTCGGCCTTGAATTGGCCCCTCCCCTCCATAGGTTTCTGCCCACACTTGCCACACTGTGCTCAGCTTAAGACTACCCTATGGCGATGTGTTGAGGCATATCCCATGCAACCCTCCCATCCCATGAAGTTTAAACTCTGGAAACAACTCAGGAGATGAATCAGGTGGAATCTAATCCTTTGCACCACTTTTCCCACTTTATTGTTGACTAGAGGCTTAGTGCACAAAATTCGTGCATGGGGGTTGGGGGGTCCACTCTAAACTGCTTTTTAATGAAAACCTTTCATTTCAGACCATCCTTTGTGGTTACTTTAGGTATCTGAGGTTGCAAGGCCATCATGCAGGCCTTCCCTGAGTTAACCAGGTGAGCATGTGGCCCCTTTTCATCCACACCCACTTCGCCTCAAGGCCCTTGGAGCTCTGATGGCTCCAGGCCTGGGATCTGCAGACACTTCCCTGCTGACCCCCCACAATCCACCCATTTAGTAAGAGGCTTGAAGGGAGCATTTCAGATTTGCTCCCTGGTTTGTTGTCTTTGTTTCAAAAAAATAAAATAACAAGCCTAGATTGCCTGGGAGAGTACAGTTTCCATGAGGTGAGAACATGGTGTCCCCATAAGAGGCCACCTGCCCTGTAAGGAGGAGCTTTATGGGAGACTTGACTGCAAAGCAGAGGCAGAAAGCAGCAAACCAGGCTGTGAGGAGATCAGGAGAGGGAATGAGAGAGACAGACACTTGGGAGGGAGAAAGGGTCAGTGAGGGATCAGAGGGGATGTGGGAGGGACTGGACTGTCATGGTAGGAGTGAGGGGGTAACTCGGGAAAGTAACCTGAGGAGGAAGAAAGTGGAGAAGTAGGTTGGAGAAGAGGTAGCCCCAGAGAGAGGAGGGGAGCTGATAAGGAGAGGAGCCCTGGTGAGCAGCAGTGGGGGCCACACAGGAGGCCGCACTTCAGACAGAGACACTGGTTCAGAGAAGAATTAGGAGAGCAGGTGCAGGGACAGAAAGGGGGGTTTAGGGATGAGACAGCAGAGGGAGAGGCAGCACTGAGAGCCAGCCAGCTGTGGGTAACAGGACAGACTAACAGAGGCTGCAGAGGGGACACAGGCATGGGAAGAGAAAGACACAGACATATGGAAATAAATATCACAGTTCTTCACATTAGAGAAAAATTACAAACTGAATTTGGAAGGACTTTAGGCAGGATGAGTGTTCACAGCATCAGAAATACATACTGGGGGATGGTGTTAAAATATAATGAATAGGACAATATATTTAACCTAGAGTTAAGCATTACTAAACATCTATATATAGAAGCCTAAGCGACCATTATGATCAAATGATCTGTCAACAAGTTGCTATGTCGCACACTGACCACCAGAGGGCAGATGCTCAACGCAGGAGTTGCCCCCTGGTTGTCCCTGTGCTTCCACAGGGGGAGCTCAGCTCAGCCAAAAGCTGGGCTCACAGCTGGTGAGTGCATCAGCAGTGGCAGGAGCCTCTCCCACCTCCACCCCTCCCCACACACACACACCTGCACGGCAGCACTAAGGATGTAGGATGTACGATTGAGGGCTAAGCTGTCAGTCAGACATCCCCCCCAGGGTTGGAGGGACACCCCCCCCTCCCAACCCCCAGTGCATGAAATATGTGCACCGGACCTCCAGTTAGTCAATATACATGTAAGAGAAATCTTACAGATATAATGTGTGTAGCAAAGATCTTATCCAAAATTGAATCTATGGAGGTTACCATAATGTTAATTGTGGAAAGCAATGTTACAAATATTAGGAGTAATGATGTGGGTAATTCAAACGCAATGAACAAGGAAAGGCTGTCCCCAATAGGAGCGAGATGCAAGCAACCAGGGCTGCCCCCTCGCTCCTGCCCCTCCCTCCCTCCCTCTGTCCCTGCACAGGCCTGGCCCCCGGGCTCGGCCCCGCCCCCATCGCGGAGTCGCTCAGCTCAGGCTCTGGCCCCGCCCACCCCGCAGGGAGGCGCATGCGCAGTTCCTTGCAGACGCGGAAGCGGCCGTGGAGGGGAAGGTGGCGGTTCCCCCTGAGGAGGGTGTTTGTCTTTAAAGCTGACGCTCCCGGTCCCCCTCCCCGCAGGGAAGGCTGAGGGCGCTGCCGGCGCTGAAGTCCTTGTTGGGGTCCCCGCCCCGGAGCCTCTCTCAGCGGTGAGTCCGCGTCCGGGAGGCTGCGCGGTGCGGGCGCCACGTTCCTTTGGGAGGAAACGGAGGCCCCGGCCCGTGGTCTCTCCGCCTGTGGCTGTGGCCACCGCCTGCCGCGCGGTTTTCCTGCTGAAAACCGTTCCCGGGGCCGCCGGTCCTCCCCGCGGGGCTGAGAGTCTGGGTCAGGGGGTTCCCGCCCTTTGCGCCCCTCCCCCCGCCCGGCGCTTTCTGCCCAAAGAGCCCGGATGGCTCCCGGCCTGGGGGTCTGCACCCCCCTCCTAGGCACACCCCCATTTAATAAGGGGTCTGCCTGCCGGGGAGCACAGTGTCCATGGGGGGCTCAGGGGGAAGAACGCGGTGTCCCCTGAAGAGGCGACCTGCTCGCAGGGAGGGGCTTTGTGGGGGCGGGGACCCAGGCTGGGGGGTCAGGAGAGGGAGTGAGAGACAGACACGTGGGCGGGAGGAAGGGCAGCGAGGGGTCCACAGAGAGGGGCCCATAGAGGGTGTGGGGGGGACTGGACGGGACGGTAGGAGTGAGGGGGTCACTCGGGAAAGGAGCCTGAGGAGGAAGGAAGTGGAGACACAGGGAGGAGGGGGAGCCCAGAGAGAGGAAGGGGGGCTGAGAGGGAGCGGGTCCTGGGGAGCAGAAGTGGGGTCCGCACAGGAGGAGGCACTTGAGACAGAGACACGGGTTCAGAGGAGAAGAGTTGGGGAGCGAGTGCAGGGACAGAAAGGGGGGCTCAGGGATGAGGGAGCAGAGGGAGCAGCCCTGAGTCAGCAGCTGTGGGAGCGGGACAGACGGGAACAGGCAGCAGAGGGGCCGCGGGCGTGGGGAGGGGAAGACGCAGACGTGTGTGGAGATGGAGCCTCAGAGACCAGGAGAAAGAGCCCCTGAAGGGAAGGAGGTTTCAGGAGTTTCATGGTCCAGGTGTAGGACAGACAGAGAGAAAAGGGGAGAGAGAGCAGGAGAGAGGGGGGGACACAGGAAAGGACCACAGTGGAGAGAAAGGGAGCAGGAGACAGAGACAGATCCACAGACAGAAATACATAGTAGTGGGAGGAGGGGAACCCTAATTTGAATGAGAGGTGAGCTGATGGGATGTGGATGGTTAAGGTGTGATATACCAGGCTTTATAGATACAGATTTTAAAGTATATTTTTTATTGATTTCAGGTTCACAGGGAGAGGGAAAGAGAGACAGATAGAAATAGTAATGAGTAGAGACAATCATTGATCTGCTGCCTCCTGCATGCCCCACACCGAGGATCTAACCTGCAACCTGCCCATATGCCCTGACCTTATGGTTCATACGTTCAAGCTCAACCACTGAGTCTTGCTGCCTAGGTGTGCTTATATATTTAATTTAACATTGGCTGAATTGTTTTAGTTATACAGATTTGAATGAGAATGACAAATCTCCAGATTATGAGACTTGGTAATTTTATTATTATTTGCTTCCAGTTGCAACCCTTAGTCACTCAGAGGGGAGAGACTTATCTGTTGGTCATGGGTCTCTTGTCATTTCCTAGGATGGCAAGGAGGAGGTGACCTGAATCTGTCATCCATCACCTGATGCTTTTTCAAGGAATACTAGAAGCCTTAGCTTTGTTGCTGTGGTCTGTGGGGGTTGTGTGTGCTTCCATGGATTTACTTTTTCTATGTGTGACACTTCATTTATTATTTAAAAACATCTGAGATAAATCCTCTGGCTCTTCTCAGATCCCCTGAGGAGCTTTAAGAAATGCCCTCAGGTGGGCTTTCCCCTGTGGAGTTGGACAGCTGCTCTGGGTGGGGCATCATTGGTTACTGAGGAGCTCCATGTGATTGGAAGGTGAGGCCAGGGATTAACAGGAGGGTTGCAGGATGCCTTTGTGAGAGTGGGGACCAGGCTTTGTTTAGGGGAGTTAAGGGGGTGCTCTGTTTGGTTTGGGAGGTCAAGGCAGCAATTCACGTTCTCATTTCTTTAGGACTTAGTGGAAGTCTTTGGAAGGAGAGACACATGAAGACAGACACTAGAAAATTCCCAGTGTGGTCTCCAAGTAGGAGCTCATTGTTCCTCTCTCCTGTGACCAAGGACAGGAGGGCATGACCTTTTCCTCATTTGCAGGTCCTTCTGACTGTGTGTGTGAGGTGAGCTGATTAACAAGCTGTGCTGACTTCTTTGAAGGCACATTCTGTGACTCCTCAACATAGTGTCACCTGAGAAAACATCTCAGACCCCGATCAGGACCAGGACTAAATGGCTGCTTCTCAGGTAAAAGATGTGTCCTGTGTCAGTGGCTGTGTTTGCTTTTCCTTGAACATCTGTTGATATATTTCTCTTTCCCTTCCCACACCTGTGTCTCCTCTTCTGCCCCTGTTACAGTCTGTCCTGTTACTCACAGCTGGCTGACTCAGTGCTGCTTCTCCCTGTGCCCCGTCATCCCTAAACCCCCCTTTCTGTGCCTGCAGTCCTTCCCACCAATTCTTCTCTTCTGAACCAGTCTCTCTGTCTGAAGCTGGCACCCCCTTTGTTGCCCACACTTCTGTGCACCAGGACCCCTCTCCCTCTTAGTCCCCTCCATCTCTCTGGGGCTCCTTCCTCTTCTCCATATTTCTCTACTTTTGATGTTCTTGCCTTTCCAAGTTTTTTTCCTTTCCTTATTTCTTTCCTTTTTTCTTATGATAGTCAGGTCAGCATTTTCTATATTTCCCTCTCTTTTTAAATATATGTTTTATTGATTTCAGAATGTAAGGGAGATGGAGAGAAAGAGATAGAAACATCAATGAGCAGAGAGAATCATTGATCAGCTGCCTCCTACACCCCCCCCACTGGGGATTGAGTCTGAAACCTGGCGTGTGCCCTGACCAGGAATGGGAACCTGCCCTCCTGGTTCATAGGTCAGCGTTCTTCCTCTGAGCCACTCTGGCCCGGCTATACTTCTCTCCTTTGTCCCAGAGCCTTCTCTGCATTCATTTTATGCAGCCTCCCCAAGGTCAGGAAGCATTGCCACCTTTAATTAATGACTTTGAACTACTCAGAACATCCCTTTTGTGACAGATCCACCTGGAAAGGCAGCCATTTATACCATCCCTATTAGGATGGGGTCAGAGGCTCGTATATCTTGAAGAGGGAAATGTAGGTTTTAGGTTCAAGTGGCTGCAGCATCAGCCTCTTGATATGGGGTAAGAAAATGCACATTTGACTGCTCAGAGTAGCTCAGAAAGTTCTGAAAGAAGAGTAAATAGAAGAGATTTGCTCACTAGATTAGTACGAAAGACTTGGTAGGTAAATGTACTATTAGCTTACAGAATATGAGAGTTACACGGGCATTGACAGGTGCAAAAATTAATGTTTATTTGTGATTATTTCCACATAATGATTTCTTAATTGAAGTATTTTTGCCAGTAATGTCAGTAGTGGTGACCTGTCCTTCCAGGTACCTTAGTCACCTGATACCCATTGTCTCAGTCAACATGATGTTCACGTGGCAGAGGTGCTGCACTCACTGTAGAGTTAATAGTCCCCCTTGCTCAGTAAGAAGGGTTAGTGGGGGTTTAATCAAAGTTGTGCAAAGACCATTACTTCATATCTGGAAATGTCTCTATTCTTAGTTTGTGTTTGCTTTTTAAAATGAAGGGCTTACTTTTATTTCCTACAGATCATTGGCTTTTGCATGGGAGCTTTAAACAATCAGGCCTTGAATCTTTAAATTTTCATTATATTTTATACTCATGTAATGGACTTACCCTTCATGATCACTTTTTGAATTTTCTAGAAAGTTTCCAAGAATGATATTATTATTATTTTTTTAATACATATATTTTATTGATTTTTTACAGAGAGGAAGGGAGAGAGATAGAGAGTTAGAAACATTGATGGGAGAGAAACATCGATCAGCTGCCTCCTGCACACCCCCTACTGGGGATGTGCCCACAACCAAGGTACATGCCCTTGACCGGAATCAAACCCGGCACCCCTCAGTCCGCAGGCCGACGCTCCATCCACTGAGCCAAACCGGTCAGGGCTCCAAGAATGATATTATTAATGTATGTTCAGTTACATTAAATTTTTACAATATAGCTCTGCACTAATGACACACAAAAATTTTGAAAGGAATGTACTAGTAAGAAAAATTTGTTCCCCCTGTTTGGTGTGGATCAGTGGTAGGGGGTTTGATTCCTGGTCCAGGGCAACTAGGTCCTGGGTACGTATGGTAGGCAACTAATCCATGTGTCTCTGTATCTCTTTTACATTGATATCTCTCCCCCCCCCCCACTCTCCCTCCCTTCCTTGCTCCCTCCCTCCCTGTCTTTTCCCTTTCATGCCTCTACCTCCCTGCATTCCACTTTCAAAATGTCAATGAAAAAATCTCCGCAGGTGAGGATTTACAACTACAAAAAGGAAATAATAGGTCTAATTTGTTTTGTATCCTTATGTTTCTCTCCTTATTGTATTTATATAAAACCCAAAGGGGATCATACACAAATAGATTCATGAGATTTACGGAATCACTAAACCATCTTGATTTCTTAGTTGTAAAATGTGTGTCTCTGTGCCTAAACTGTTAACATTATTTCAGCTATTTTTTCCCAAGTACATTTTTATGGATTTCAGACAGGAAGAGAGAGGTAGAGAGAGACAGAAACATCAATGATGAGAGAGAATCATTGATCCGCTGCCTCCTGCACACTCCATGCTGGCATTGAGCCCACAACCTGGTCGTGTGTCCAGACAGCAATCGAATCTGATCTCTTGGTTCATGGGGCAGCACTCAACCACTGAGCCACACCAGCTGGACCATGCAGAATAATCTTATTCTAAAATTACTCATGTTAAATTTTCCACTAAGATTATGGTTCATATGTGTCCTTTTCCATGAGAACTGTAAATTCCATTAATGACCCTTTTAGTTCAAAGTTCAGTATGAATTTTTTCCTGTTTTCTTTTTCTGTGTATTCAGAGGTATGGCACCTGATGTGGACACATTGACATCACAAGTAAAAAAAGTGAGTTTGTTACATGTGGAAACACAGGCCCCATCTGAGAACCTGGATCACAATCTGTGTCTTTACAGAAGTTCATTTCATTGTGGTCTGCTTTACACTTGAGAAGAAGTTCATATACTTCCAACACACCATCACATTTATAGCTGAGAAATATACACTACTGACCCTGAACGATGATGCAACACAGCACTCAGAAATCCATATGCCCGTGTCCACTGAGTCAAATCAGCCAGGGCTATGCCTTAATTTTAAAGTTTATTTTCTTGTAAAGGAAAATCTGTACTGTGCATCTGTGTACATGTTTCATCCTCATTTGTTAGTGTCAGAAGACACATCAGAGAATGTTACTGGGGCAAAGTGATCTTATTGGGTGATTCAGGATACTCCCCTAGGACCCAACCTCTTCTCCTAACACTGTTTTCATGTTGGGTAACATTATGAACTCTTCTGGTGACCTCTTGGTCAATGTGTCTTTTTGTTCAGGGACCGTTGACATTCAGGGATGTGGCCATAGATTTCTCTCAGGAGGAGTGGGAATGCCTGGACCCAGCTCAGCGGAAATTGTACCTGGATGTGATGTTGGAGAACTACAGCAACCTGGTTTCCATGGGTGAGGATGACTCCTTCCCGAGTTCCTACTCCACCCCCACAATTTTTTTTCCTTTATTATTATAACATCTCTAAGGGGCTTCTGCTTTCTATGGTAGATTCTTGCTCTTGAGGAACAAATTGGGCCCTAGCTGGCTTGGCTCAGTGGATAGGCCCAGTGGCCTGCATACTGAATGGTCCCGGAATAGATTCTGGTCCAGGGCCAATCCCTGGGTTGCTGACTGGCTCCCCAGTAGCGGGTGTGCAGGAGACTACAGATCAGTGATTTTTCTCTCATCATTGATGTTTCTCTCTCTCTCTTTCCCTCTCCCTTCCTCTCTGAAAGCAAGAAAAAAAATATATTTTTTAAAAAGGAACAAATTGGGGATTCTTTGGTGTAGAAAAGAAAGGCTTTGTGATATGAATTAGGAACACAGTGTTTGTACACTTTACATGTTGTCTACAGTAATTAAGGTAATATCAGAAAATAATATTTTGGAAAATAATTTTCTAGAATATTCTAATATTCTACCATTTCTTCTGGCCGGAGGACGACCTGCATTGGAAATGGGAAAGCTTCTATCAAAATTCACACTCCATTTTCCTGTTTTAAATTTATTTTAAGATTTTGTTTATTTCAAGGTGGAAGGGATGGTTAGAGATGGAAACTTCAGCTGGGCATTAATTGATTTTTTTGTATGTGCCCTGTCAAGAGGTCAAACTTACAACATTGGTATATCAGTACGATCCTCGAAGTAACTGGGCTAACTGGGCAGGCAGATTGGATTCTTTCACTTAGATCTATGTATCTAGGTTTCTATCATGTCTTTTCATGGCTTGATGAATTATTTTTTTACAGTAGTGAATAAGACTTCATTGTATGTACTTCACTATATTTATAATCCATTTACTTGTTGATGGACCTCTGCATTGCTTCCAATTTTTATAAATTATGAATAAACAGCCCCTTGTAGGCTTTTGTGTAGATGAAAAGGTTTAACTCTTTGGCTTAATAGTATGGAGCCCAATTATTGGATCCCATGGCGAGTGTATATTTAGTTTTATAAAAACCTCCAGACCATCCCCACAATGGGCTGTAGCATTTGGCATTTTCAGCAGCAGTGATTGGGAGTTCCAGTTGCTCCACATCACCAAGGCAGTTGGTGCGTTCAGTGTTCTGGATTCTGACCTGTTCAGTGGTGGTTGAGTGTTGCTTGGCTGTGCTGTTGTTACTTGTCATTGTTTTAATGTGAATTTCCTTAGTGACATAAGATGTGCAGGATCTTGTTAACTGATATTCTATGTGTATGTATTTATAGTGCTGTGGCGTTAAGGTGTTTGGCCATTTTCAGTCATGTTGGTTCTTTTGTCCATGTTGAGTTGGAAGATTTCTTTGTGGTTTTGCATAATTGTCCCATGCATGTTGACTTTTTTATTAATGTGGTAGTGGCCCCATGCACGGATTCGTGCACATTCAAAGGAAAATAATTAGAAGAAATATTTTAATATCGTTACTTTCCCTCTCTGTATAATAGAAGTGTCTGAGTTGAAAGAAAATGAGTTAAATGTATATGAAAATAATATATACTTTAAATTGATTAATAAATAAAGAATAACAACATGATACAACAACAACAAAGACCTGATAGAAAAACATGATATAAAACAACAAAAACATGATATAAAAACAACATTGATACAAACGACTAATAAATTGATTAAACTTATTCTAATATCTCCCTATGTAACACATTAAAGAGTGAAATACCAACAAACACCTAACAAGATGACAATCATTTTAGAGTAAAAACACTCATTTAAGAGTAAAAACACTTGTGATGAGGTTTTTACAACTCTAACGTCACATGCTCTTTGAGAGAAAGCAACATATAACTGACTATATCTGAAAATAGATTCAGGTAGGAATATTCGTACTCTGTCTAGAGTTTGTTCTTGTGATTTATTAATAGTTATTGCAAATGCTGGCATCATGAGAAAGTGTCTTCGAATTATTTTATATGGGAGGCCAGTGTCAGACAAGGACAAATATCGCACTTGGGCGAGTCAACATTTATTTTTCTTTTTTTTTTTTTAAATATATTTTATTGATTTTTTTTCAGAGAGGAAGGGAGAGGGATAGTTAGAAACATCGATGAGAGAGAAACATCGATCAGCTGCCTCCTGCACACCCCCTACTGGAGATGTGACCGCAACCAAGGTACATGCCCTTGACCGGAATCGAACCCGGGACCCTTCAGTCCGCAGGCCGACGCTCCATCCACTGAGCCAAACCAGTCAGGGCAACATTTATTTTTCAATTGCCAGTGCTCGTCATATGTTCTGGGTGGTCGGACAGGTGTGTGGTCAGTCACTTAGCCTTTTATATATATACTAGAGGTCCGGTGCATGAAATTTGTGTACGGGTAGGGTCCCAAGGCCTGGCTGGCGATCAGGGCCTATTGGGCCTTCCAGCTGCCGGCTGGGGCCTTCCTTCCCTGGCTGTCATCTGGGGCCTTCCTTCCCTGAATACCAGCTGCCAGGCAGGTCCTTCCTTTATTCCATGCCACTTCCTTCCTGGTGGTTAGAGCATGTCATACCAAGCAACTGAACTCCCTGTCTCTCAGTCAAACTCCCAAGGGGATTTCAGAACCGGTTTGGCTCAGTGGATAATGCGTCGGCCTGCGGACTCAAGGGTCCCGGGTTCGATTCCGGTCAAGGGCATGTACCTTGGTTGCGGGCACATCCCCAGTGGGGGGCGTGCAGGGGGCAGCTGATCGATGTTTCTCTCTCATCGATGTTTCTGGCTCTCTATCCCTCTCCCTTCCTCTCTGTAAAAAATCAATAAAATATATTTAAAAAAAAAAAAAAACTCCCAAGGGGAGACTTTGCATATTAACCTTTTATATATATAGATTATATATATAGGTTTTGGTTATATTATGTAGTTGTCTTTCTTTTCTCCTTTTCAGCTTTAAGATACTTAGTTCCATTCTTTTACAGGTAAATAATATATTTCCATTTATTTAGTACCAGTTTGATTACAATTATTTTGTGTTTCTGGTGGTACACTTCTTCGGTTTCTTTGCATGACTTCATATCTTTTGTTGATATTCAGGAATTGTATACAAACAGGCTTTTAAACAAGTTTTCTATAGGAGGAAACAAATAATAACCATCTGTGGAACCAATTCTACATTCCGTCAACACTGATTTCAGGATCTGTATTCCTGGCTTGGTTGTCTGTTTAATTTTCCAGACCCACAGTATCTTTTCAGGCTTGATATATATCTTCAGTACCACAGTCTTTGTGGTGCTTGAACAACTTCTCATTCTTTCTTCGCAGTAGCCACTATAGGACTCTCACCACGTGCTGCCATTCTGTTCACACTCGTTTGTGTCATGCACAACAGACACATGTTCTTCAAGATGCTTCAAAACAAGGAGATCATTGAACATGCCCTTCCTTCATTTCTCTCTCTCTCTCTCTCTCTCTCTCTCTCTCTCTCTCTCTCTCTCTCTGTCGCGAAGAAACTGGGAGTTTGGAGTGTTTTTATAATATTGCCATTTTGTTCCAGGGGGTTTGATGCAAATGTAAGCAACTCTTTCTCCCCCTTTGATGTGAGTTTTCTTCATTGTACCTATCTTGAGCTTTCGTTGAATCCTACACTGGCTCTTGGAGTACTCCAAAATGTCATTTGATCAATACTTGCTGTAAGGTTAAAGTGCATTCACCTGATTATAAAAACTGAAAATTTGTTTTCTTTCAGCTATACCATCTGAGGATAACCATGTCTTTATGCCAAAGCCCAGAATACAAGATTTATTCTCTGAAATAATACTGGTAAGATATAAAAGGTGTCGCTTTGATAATGTACACTTAATGAAAGCCTTGGAATTTGAGGAAGAGTGTGATGAGAAGGGAGAATATTGATATAAAGAGAACTAATCTGAGACAATTATCATAATAAATTTCTTTTTACCTAAAGTGGTCAGGTATATTATGCATTTGGGAAACCTCCCAATTTAAAGTCAGTTAAACATTGGCAGATCAGTGTGCCCTTACCGGGAATGGAACCGTGATCTTCTTGTTCATATGTTGAATCTCAACCACTCTAGAAAAAGTAGGAATTTGCATTTTGGTAATCTTTTATTTATTTATTTTTATGATTATTATTTTAAAATATATTTTTATTGATTTCAGAGAGGAAGGGAGAGGGAGAGAGAGAGAGAAACATCAATCTTGAGAGAGAATCATTGATTGGCTTCCACCTGTACGCCCCCTCCTGGGGATCGGGACCTGAACGCTTCACGAATTTGCGTGTCGTCCTTGTGCAGGGGCCGTGCTAATCTTCTCTGTATCGTTCTGATTTTAGTATATGTGCTGCTGAAGCGAGCACACTTTTATGTTTTTATATTAAAAATATATTTTAATTGATTTTAGAGAGTAAGGGAAAGGAAGAGGGAGAGGAAAACATCAATGATAAGAGACAATCATTCATTGGCTGCCTCCTGCATGCCTCCTACTGGGGACTGATCCCTCAGCCGGGACATGTGCCCTTACCGGGAATGGAACCGTGATCTTCTTGTTCATATGTTGAATCTCAACCACTGAGACCTGCCGGCAGGGCAATTTGGTAATCTTTTATTTATTTATTTTTATGATTATTATTTTAAAATATATTTTTATTGATTTCAGAGAGGAAGGGAGAGGGAGAGAGAGAGAGAAACATCAATCTTGAGAGAGAATCATTGATTGGCTTCCACCTGTACGCCCCCTCCTGGGGATCGGGACCTGAACCCAGGCTTGTGCCCTTGACTGGAATAGAAACTGGGACCCTCCAGTCTGCAGGCCAATGCTCTATCCACTGAGCCAAACCAGCTAGGGCAATTTAGTGATCTTTTAAACAAGGATTCATCCTTTTTCCTCTGACAATTAATGTCTTGTATTTATTTTTTGTCTATAATTTTAATATATTAGGAAAGCTTTTGTTATACAGCGATTTTGGTTTAATGTTTATCACAGAATGGTTTTTATGGAACAAGTGTACATGTTTAATGAAATTATAACTATCACTAAAGGTCTTTCTATCTCCCATAATCACCAGAGTATACATAATGAAGATAGAAGTTATCAATGGATTGAACATTGGAAAAACTTTAAGCTAGAGTCATATCTTAATCATCAGACAAGTGAGCTTGCAGAGGACCATTATAAAAGTGGAAAACTCTTTGACCAAATGTCCAATAACAACATACATCAGGTTATTGCTATTGTGGAGAAGACACGCAAAGGAAATAAATATGTCCAGTCTTTTCAGCAGTCTTCAGATTACACTGAACAAGAGTTAATTCATCATGGGGCAGAAGCTTACAAATCAAATCCGTGTGGGAGAGTCTTCAGTCAAATATTCAATCTAAATAGACGCAAAAAAATCCAAAGTGGAGAAAAACTTTATAAATGTCAAGATTTGGGTAAAATATCTTATTGGCCTTCAGGTTGTACTTTAAATCACAGGATTCATCCTGGAGAGAAGGCTTTCAAATGTAAAGCATGTGGCAAAGCCTTTAAATGCCATTCCTCTCTTATTGTACATAAGGGAAGAATTCACACAATAGCAAAATTTTACAAACTCAGGGAAAGTGGAAAATGCTTTATTCAGTCCTCAAGACATACTCAGCATCATAGAAATCATAGGGAAGAAAAGTCTTATAAATGTTCTGAATGTGGCAAAACCTATAGCCGGCCCTCAACCTGTACTCTTCATCAGAGAATTCACACTGGAGAAAACCCTTTTAAATGTAGAGAATGTGGCAAATCCTTTAAAAACCATGCAGTTCTTACTAATCATCAAAGTGTTCATACTGAAGATAGGCCTTATAAATATAGAGTGTGTGGTAAAGCATTCCTCCACACCTCAAACATTCGACATCAGAAATCTCATACTGGTGAGAAACCTTACAAATGTAGAGAATGTGGCAAAGCCTTTACCCGGTCCTCACATCTTACTTGTCATCAGAGAGTTCATTCTGGAGAAAAGCCTTATAAATGTAGAGTATGTGGCAAAGCCTTTAGCGATCCCTCCTCTTTTAATAGACATCAGAGAGTCCATACTGGAGAGAAGCCTTATAAATGTAGAGAATGTGGCAAAGACTTTAGGCAGTCCTCTGCTCTTAATTATCATCAGAGAGTTCATACTGGAGAGAAGCCTTATAAATGCAGAGAATGTGGGAAAGCCTTTACCCAGTCTGCATCCCTTACTAATCATGAAAAAGTTCACACTGGAGAAAAACCTTATAAATGTAGAGAATGTGGCAAAGCCTTTGCCCGATCCTCAATCCTTATTGCACATCAGAGCATTCACACAGGAGAGAAGCGTTATACATGTAGAGACTGTGGCAAATCCTTTGTCACTTCCTCAAAACTTACTAAGCATAAGAGAGTTCACACTGGAGAGAAGCCTTATAAATGTAGAGACTGTAGCAAAGCCTTTAGCCAGTCCTCATCCCTTATTAATCATCAGAGAGTTCACACTGCAGAGAAACCTTATAAATGTAGAGAATGTGGCAACTCCTTTCTCAGCTCCTCTGGCTTTACTAAGCATCGGAGAGTTCACACTGGGGAGAAGCCTTATAAATGTAGAGAATGTGGCAAAGCCTTTGCCCGATCCTCAACCCTTATTGCGCATCAGAGCATTCACACAGGAGAGAAGTGTTATACGTGTAGAGACTGTGGCAAATCCTTTGTCACTTCCTCAGAACTTAATAAGCATCGGAGAGTTCACACTGGAGAGAAACCTTATAAATGTAGAGACTGTAGCAAAGCCTTTAGCCAGTCCTCATCCCTTATTATTCATCAGAGAGTTCACACTGCAGAGAAACCTTATAAATGCAGAGAATGTGGCAAATCCTTTCACAGCTCCTCAGACTTTACTAAACATCGGAGAGTTCACACTGGAGAGAAGCCTTATGAATGTAGAGAATGTGGCAAAGCCTTTAGCCAGTCCTCACAACTTACTTGTCATCAGAGAGTTCATTCTGGAGAGAAGCCTTATAAATGTAGAGAATGTGGCAAAGCCTTTAGATGGTCTTCACACCTTACTAGACATCAGAACGTTCATACTGGAGAAAAGCCTGATAAACAGAGAATGTAACACAGCCTTTCATCAGTGTTTCTGCCTTACTGTACAGCAGAGTTCGTACTTGAGAGAAGACTCAAAGATGTGAGGAGTGCCCTAACCGCTTTGGCTCGGTGGATAGAGCATCGGCCTACTGACTGAAGGGTCCCAGGTTCAATTCCGATCAAGGGCTTGTACCTTGTTTGTGGGCACATCCCCAGTGGGGAGTGTGCAGGAGGCAGCTGATCGATGTTTCTCTCTCATCGATGTTTCTAACTCTCTATCCCTCTCCCCTCCTCTCTGTAAAAAATCAATAAAATATATTTTTAAAAAAATATGTGAGGAGTGTCGTGAATTCTTGACCAGCTGTGAGAACTTACTAACATCACAGAATAGATACTGGCAAGAAGCCTTATGAATGTGAAAAATGTAGACAAGCCTTTAAAAGGTATTCATGTCTTCCTGTACCTGAGAGACCTCATACTAAAGACAGTCCTTACAAATATAGACTTTGGGCTGGAGCCTTTACCCACAGCTCAAAATTTACTGAACATCAGAGATTTTATAGTGGAGGAAAGCTTTACACTGTAGAAAATGTGAGAAAGCCTTTAACCTGAGGTCTAACCTACTCAACATTTTAGGAAACATTCTAAAGAAAAACAGCAAAAATATAAAATTTTCATCTAAGGATTTAAGTTTCAATGGTTGAAGCTACATTGAGAATGTTAAAATAAGGTCTTACAGCCCTGACCGGTTTGGTTCAGTGGATAGAGCTTCGGCCTGCGGACTGAAAGATCCTAGGTTCGATTCCGGCCAAGGGCATGTACCTTGCTTGCGGGCACATCCCCAGTGGGTGGTGTGCAGGAGGCAGCTGATCGATGTTTCTCTCAGCGATGTTTCTAACTATCCCTCTCTCTTCCTCCCTGTAAAAAAAATCAATAAAATATATTTAAAATAAAATAAGGTCTTACAAATTATCAGGCACATGTCAAAGTATATATCCTCATTTAATGTCATAGAACCTCTTGGAATTATTACTGGATCAAAGCCCAGCAGATACAAAGAATGTGACAAAGCTTACTCAGTATGCAAACCTTACCTGACATCAGAATTCATACTGGGGAGAAACAATACAAATGTAAACATTAAAGTCTTTAATCAGCATCCGAAGCTTATTCCTCACATTGGGATTTATTCTAGGGAGAATCCTTAAAACTGAAGAATGTGGGAAATCGTATAGTTGGATCTACGGCCCCAGTCTGTTGATGTTCTGTTTGTGAACGGTGACGCTGAGGTGATCTCGGCGTACAGGATGAGTTTAGAGAAGCCGAGGGCTACCGCTCACTCAGGCAAGTAGCAAAGCCCCCAAAGCTCTCATGGCTTTTATTTGGGGAGTACAGCAAATAACAAGAGTACAGTAAGTGACAATGATTAACCAGCATGCTTATGAGATCATCTGAGCTAAGTTATACATTAAACTATTAATTTCCTATGTTATACAACGACCCTTTCCACCTGCAGCAGTGTACCTTCCCTTGAACTTTCCATGCCCTCATGGACTATTTATCACCTCAAGGAAAGTTCTGCCTCTGAACAGTAAGTCTTGCTTGCAAGACTTTGTTCTGATGTGGCCGGCTTGCAGGCCCCTGCTTTTCTTGGCAGAACGTCCTCTTATAGTTAACTTCATTCCACTTGACCAGCTACACAGTCTTATCAGGGATTATAATTGGGTAGAAATTTTATGGTTTTGATAGAGGAGGAAGGACTTTCGTTTAAAATATACAATTTATAAAACTCCAAGAATTTTGCCTTAAGTGACTTTAAAGATGTAAAAACTTTATCCAAGTATGTAATTGATTATAAATTTTAAAAGTATCATTGAATTTTCACTAGATCGATAGCCAAAATGCCTTTCAGGTATAGCCATAAATCAGTACGCACAGTGTACTCCTAACTTTAAGTGTTAGGTAATGTGTGTATACTTGAATATATCAAAGGAATTGATGTTTCCATATGTACAATTACTTAGAGTGTTATATTGAAATTATTTGAAGTCTTTTGAAAAGGAAATATTAATTTGATTGTCTTCCCATATCACTTGATGCTGCTGTTTTATTCCTGGTGTTTGTGTGAGTGAACTCATGGGGTTGATTGTTTCTGCCTTAACCGTTTGAGTCCCAAGCAGCCCGATTGCGCTGCTGAGATTTTATGTCTAGAAAACATACGATTCCTTTGAGTCCCAGGGGGTATTGAAAAAACACTGTCGAAGAATCCCAAACAGCGCAACCGCGCTTTCTCTAAATGAGTACGAAAAGACCCAAACAGCGTGATAGCGCTTGTTTTATTTTATGTCGAGAAATACCAAGCAGCGCGATTGCACTGCTTGGGACGCAAACGGTTAAAGATCTATGAGCTGTTGTATATTATATGGACTTACTTGTGTACACATTCCCATGGAATATTGGGTATATTGTAAGGCACAATATTTTCTTCTATTAGAGAACAATCCTATTGAATAAATCTTTTAAAATAGTTCTCCAGTTTTGTAAATGATGTCATCAAAGTTACTTCCTTTTCTGTGCCAATGTGTTCAGCTGAACACATTTTTGAGGGCATGTCAATTTGTGGTTGTCACATTTAGGTGACCGGAACTACACTCAGTACAGTGCTGTCTGTGTAATAGATTGCCATAATTAAGAGGAATATTGCAATACCAGTGACAATTTCAGCAGCGGAGGTCTCAGAGCTGGAGCCGACCTCAGAGCTAAAGCCGGCTCTAAGCTCCAGTGACAGCCATAGAAAGTAAGTAAATCCCAGAATAAAAAAAAAAAAGAAAAAAAGGAGAGGTTGGGAGCTTCAGTCGCCCACCAGCCTGAAAACAGCCCTCAGCCCCTCACCCAGACTGGCGAGGCACCCTAGTGGGGACCCCCCACTCTGAAGGGGGTGCAACCAGCTGCAAACAGCCATCATCCACTCATCCAGGCTGGCCAGGCACCCAAGTGTGACCCCCACCCTGATCCGGGACACCCTTCTGGCCCCCACACGTGCACCAGGCCTCTGTCCTATATAGTAAAAGGGTAATATGCAAACTGACCCTAACAGCGGAATGACTGGTCACTATGACACACACTGACCACCAGGGGGCAGACAATCAATGCAGGAGCTGCCCTCTGGTGGTCAGGGCGCTCTCACATGGGGAGCTCTGCTCAGCCACAAGCCAGGCTGATGGCTGCCAGTACAGGGGTGGTGGTGGGAGCCTCTCCTGCCTCAGCAGCACTAAGGATATCCGACTGCAGTTTAGATCTGCTCCCCGCTGGCAAATGGACATCCCCCAAGGGCTGTCGGGCTGCCAGAGGGATGTCTGATTGCCAGCTTAGGCCCAATCCCCCGGGAGCAGGCCTAAACCAGCAAGTGGTCATCCCCTGAGGGGTCCCAGACTGCGAGAGGGCATAGGCCGGGCTGAGGGACCCCCCCTCCCTGAGTGCACAAATTTTTGTGCACCGGGCCTCTAGTTGAATATATAATTACATATTGTTTTTGTGATTAATCACTATGCATTAATTATGTTCAATTTGTAACAATGAAAATACATCCTGCATATTTACATTATGATTCATAATAGTAGCAAAATTACAGTTATGAAGTAACAAAGAAAATAATTTTATGGTTGGGGGTTACCATAACATGAGGAACTGTATTAAAGGGTTGTGGCATTAGGAAGGTTGAGAACCACTGGTCTAGGACATCTAACCAGTGATGTCAATGGGAAGTTAAAGTCCCCTCCTATGATTGATTGAATTAATTTGAAAATGCCAATAACTATATACCTATCAATAGTCACATACAATATAAATGTTTTAACTACTTCAGCCAGAATACAGAAGGTAGCTGAATAGATAGGAGAACAAGACCCTTAACATACGCTGTTTACACGAGGCAAAGCCTGTTCCTTCTATCCATTCCCCCCCCCCCCCCCCAAATAGGTTCCTATGCATTTGTACACATTAATACATCACTACATATGTATTCTCTTTGTTCCTGGTTAGTGTATTGCTTCCAGGACATCCATCCAGATGGGGGCCCCTAAACAATCTTTTCTGACCAACCTGGCTGATAGTCCAGAGCCTACTTGCAGGCTCTAGTCCATGTGTGAATAGACACCCCTTCTCAAAGTGATCACCTCACCAAAGCCTGTGGCTGAGTTCCATGGTACTGCCTCATGCAAAGGCATGTGGTAAGGATGTTTATTTCCTTATGTGAGCATAAAAGCAAACAGTAAAACTAGCTTTCAAATGTTTACTAGCATCATTTAAGCCAAAAATAATTTTAAACTCAAAATAATACAAGTTAATATTCATTATTCTGTTTACTGTGGAAATTCTGAAGATGGAGCTAGTGGGTTTTGCATCAAGCAGATAGCATCTGTATGTCCCACAGACATTTCTAAAAGCTTATTTCCAATACAGGGCCTCTGTTGGAAGCTACCCATTGTCTTCACTATCGGAGAAGTGTAAACAAGGAGCCCGGAACGCTGGTGAACCTTGAGCCCTGGCAAGGGCCAGAGGTATGCACCAATTATTTAGTCGAGACTATGGTAGCTCAAGCAATTTCCTGACCAAATAGTCTCAGAGTAAATCTTTACCAGTATTTACTGACCTTTAAGATAGTCTGTCTGTTACCGGAATTGCCTCCCTGAGTAAGGGCAATATGTGTATCCAAAATTGGATGAAAGGTTGGAAAGGCCTGGGTACGTTAAGTCCTTCCCCTTGCATTGGACTCTCCGCCTGGCCCCCATTATTTTTAAATTATTATTTCTTGTCTCGTCTCTGTCATATGCAGGCGGCCCTTCTCCAGATTCTGAACCGTGAACCACATGGGACGTGGTTCACACATTTCGCACCTTGAACGATGGACATCTGGAGGAGAAGATTTCGCCTAGAGCGGAAAAACGAAGTTTCACCGGCAAGGTCCAAAAGAATTCACCGGATAGGTGGGGAAATTCGCCATGTTCAACGCCCACGGCCAGCTGAAGAAGTTGCGATCTGTAAGTTGGGTGGGAATGTCTTTTTTTTTTTAGCCAGGCTAATGGGGCAGAATTCGTCAAAAGGGGAGAAACTTTATTGTAGACTTTTGGTTTGCATGCTTAAGGATAAAGGAATTAAAATGTCAGAAGGTATTCTTTTACAGTTTTTGCATGTTATTATAGAACATAACCCTTGGTTTCCTGAAGAAGGTACATTAGATCTTGAATGTTG